CTTGCGGTATAAGGTACTTTGAGAATATGCTGGTGTATGATATCACCTACGAAGGCATGAGCAAGCTTTTATTATACCGATTCACTTTTCGAGACAATCTAATCTTGTCTATCCATCAGTCAATCTTTCTGATGTCTTGCGAAATCTTCGTTTTATTCTACGAATAGATTCTCAACCATTTTCTGATTCGGTTTAAGCAATGCTGTCTGTCGGTCCATGCATCTTTCTATTCAAAAAGGTCGCAAGAAGAAAAGAAAAATTATACAAGGAGTAACTTATTTGTAGTTGTTTGTTTAGCATAATAGTATTATGTGACGAGAGCGTTTTTTTAAATGCTATGAAAAGTCTTTTATTTCCAAATAATTCCATTCTTGTAATGGTTCATTACAGAGAAGAGAGCATGCTTTTCAATTAAATGCATAAAACTTTGCAAAACTAACAGAATTAAGTTTATTTCTTGATTCTTCGTTTTTTTTTTTTTTTCAAAGGTAATGATTGCATAGAAATAGCTTCGAAATTAAAAGTACAAAAACGTTGTAGCTACTTCCGGGTAAAATAATTAATTTCTAATGGTGACTAGATTAAATTAAATTAAAAATTCACAACTCATCCTTTAATTACTTTTAGCCTTTCTTAGAGACAAATGCCGAGAGAATGAAGCGTAATGAAATCGTGTTTAACTTAAGCAAATAAGAACATTATAGTTGAGTAAGGCCGACTTATTGGATGTTCTACACCAGTGCAACTAATTATACCTTCTTCACTTTTGACTTCTTGTAACAGTTCTTATGAGGAAGAGAGCCCATTAACATAGTTCAAATTTAGCAAAATTAATCTTGTTTCGACAGATCTTATCATTACTTACCTACGTTTATTATAAAGTACTAAGAATTACATTGAACTACCCTCCATAAATTTATTCGGAGGGGTTTCTGAAAAATACAACTATGTAGTCCCAACTTGGTACAACTGAATTTTATATTCAATTTTCATCGAGGCTTAGTTTTCATCAGAACTCTTCTAGGGGGAGAAGGTCCAAGAAATAGGTCGACATGATCCACATTTAATACAGTTCATGTCAAACTCTTTGTACGAACTAATCGTCACCGGGAAATTTAATCGTTTTACCATATAGGAAGATCTACCTTTCGTAGGAAAAATTATATAGGAAGAGGTTCTAAATATCTTGTCCAAAATTTTTTTGCATATACTTAGTATAAGGACATTAATCAGGAATTTCTGTGAAAACATTTGAAAAATTGTAATTTTTATACCCAACATGACTTGTGGTTTATGTGTTCATGCAGATGCATGAAGGACTTGCGATAGACCCACCTTTTATTATATCGATCGATTTAGAATCACTTTCTGAAGCGATTTAAGCTTGTCTGTCCATCTAACCGTCTGTCTGTTTGTCCGTCTTTGTTTTTCATGTTCAAATTTGGTACGTCAATATATTTCGGCCCAAGGTCGAACGCTATTCTAAATTGTTCGAATCGGACCATCATTTTTTCAAGAAAATATTTGAAGACCATTGAAAATTGAAAACTTAACAGGGAAGAATCCATCAAAGGCCATTAGAATAAAGTCCTCAGTAGATTTCGTACAACTATTGTCGGTCGTTAGAAGAACAACAACAACCAGTCATAATACGCATCGTCTTTGGAACAAGAACAACAACCACCACCAGTCATGCTACACAAATAACAATTTCCTGTTTAAGCACAACAATAACGATTCTTTATAAAGTGTTAGTAAACATTTCTTTGACGTTGCTTCAATCTTTGTTTACGCAACGCCCAATGAAAGCAAAATATTAGGGTCGTGGACGACATACTATATGTAAATTTTCTTTATGCATTTTTGACAATAAAAACATTTCTCAAACAATCGACTGACTGTTGCCTTGCGGTTGTTATTGTGTCAATGACAAATAAGACTTCTTTCGCTTCGCTACAGTTTTCTCGTTAATTGATGCTTAAACTTCATAGAATATAGCAAGAACGGTATGGATTTTCAGAAAAACAAACATTAAATTTGGATATGGATTTTACGTTAAATATTTCATTTTGGTATTGATAAAAAAAAAAACGCTTAAGAGTGAGCACAAATTTTATGGCTGGATGGGATAGATAACTGGTATTATACCAGCGAGTCTTCCGTGCAAAAATTTTGGTTGGACTAAGCACTGTAGTATGTGTGATCCCATTGCA